ACAACACTTGCTAAATGTTGCACATATATTTTCCCCTGGACAAACTTTTTCACCTAAATACTGTTGGACAGCGGAGTGGGGAGCAGTAAATGAGTGTGGTTCATGCACAAACTTCTCCAGATGTGAAAAGCAAGGTACTTGTCACTTTCAGAATGACACTATTAGTAACTGTTAGTTTGCAAACTTCACACAAAAAGTTCACAATAGTTACTTTTATTCAATTTCACAAATGAAGAGCTTGTTTAAAGCAAAGCTTAAAATAGTTATAACATTTTTATATCTTTTAATGGGAAAAATTATCTGAAGTGATATCTGACTTGAAAGACAAACAAGTCTTCATTCAACCTCCTTAAAAATTCAGCCAACCTACTTTGACACAGCCCAGATAACAATGCTACTTGAAATGTAAGAAGACAAGTAGAGTAAATGAAACACTTAGTTACATGAAATCATGAAAAGAAGTGATCAAAATATTTTAAATTGAAATAGAGCAGAGGCCAAAAATGAGGAAGGCATACACAGGTATATTCTCTATGAGTATAGAAACGTCACCTACAAGAGGAAGGTTTTCAAGACAAGGGGCTGGGGGAGGGAGGAAGGCATCAACAAAGCTATAAGTTCAGATAAAGTCCTTATAGCCTACTGATTGTTACCGTAGATTTTCAAGATGATAAACTTGAAGCAAGAAAAGTCTGTGAGGATCTGAGGTAGAAGTTAGTACCAAGGCTCAACGTATAGATAATACCTGGTCCCTAATGTACAATAGTAATGGCTCGGAAGGAGATCACAATCACAGGAAATTTCAGAGCTGAGAAAAGTTAGCAGTGAAATTAGCCATGTTTTAAGTATATTTTACTGAAGCTTACCACTAACATAGCATATAAATATGACAGCTGCATACAACAAAAATTACAAATTTGAATACTTTTTTAATGCGACACATGAACAGGAAATGCTTTACCAATCCTACAAAAGTGTATGCATATCTGAGTAAAAGTCTGCAAGGAATTAAAGCGATCATCCTTTCCTGAAAATATCCAAAGTTGAAAGTGATATTTCCAGACAGCTGTGACATGACATTTGTGCATATATCTGTATCTACAAAAAAATAAATGACCATGTCCAGCAAAAAGGCACCCCTTATAATACCTTGAAACTTACTACATCAAACATTAGTCAAATCTAGACAGTCAAAGAGGGACTTTGTTCCAATTACTTCAGACAACTTCCTAATTGTGATTCAGGACCATATGGCACCATCATACTTGCTCCTATGGCTTCACAATTAAAAGCATGACACATCTTATTCTCACTAAGCCGTAGTAGGGTGTGATGGTGTTATGGCTGTATTCTACTAGGGTTAAGGGAGGGGTATTACTGGTAGGTGACGTTACTACCAAAACTGGTGTAGTGCCTGGTGTGTAAGAGAGAGAGTGCCCTCTGCTCTAGCCGCGCCACAGCCATCGACCCACCACCACTCCCGCTGCCGCTGCCACCACCACCACCAACACTGCCACCACCCACACTGCCACCACTGGAAGGTGCTGAGTGGGGCCCCCCCGGCGTGGGTGGGGGGCTGCAGGGGGGGTCCTCTGGGGTGGTGGTGAGCCCTCCCCCTCCGCCCGCGGTGGTGAAGGCCCTGACTAGGCGTGCTCGAGTACCTTGGCTCCTGCAGCGCCGCATGTTGTCCCCTCGCTCGCTGCCAAAACGACGCATGCCGCCTGCCCGGCCTCCCCCCGTAGGCGACAGGCACACCCCATTCAGCTAGAACACATGCCCACCCCTCAGTAAAAAGCCTTATCACTTGAGCTGCTGCTGCTGCTTCTGATGTTCTCATCACATGTTAGCAGCAACAGCAGTGTTAATTTTTCAGGAACCTGCCACTTTTAGTCTGGTGGAGCAGCAGGGGGGGGCGAGTGGTCAAGGCCAGAGGTGGCCAGGGGGGCCATAGCTGGGCCAGGAACTAAGTGCTGCCTGGTGTACCTGTGCTGTGCTCCTCTCATGCACGCTCAACCCTTGACCTCAAGCAACAAACTTTCCTGTTACACAGATTATACATTCTACGTGATTTTTTAAAGCAAGCTGCACTCAAATACACCATGAAGGTTTGACAGAAAACTGACATATGTATCCAAAAGGAGAGAATGTATAATCCACATATGGAAAAAAAATTGAGTCTTAAATCACTGTTGGTTTTAAAATCTACTACAAATAAAGAAGCTCTGAAAAAGGAAAGACTGTAGGCCATCAACCTGTGCTGTTAGTGAGGTGGGTGTGCTGAGACAGTTACCTAGGTCACAACTCTTTACAATTTTCTGACAAAAGTATAAAAATAAAATAATAATAATTATAAAAATATAAATAAATAAAATAAAACTGGTCAGTTTAATAAAATGCTTAAAAATATATATCAAATACCACTGAACAACGTTATATATATGAAAATGGAATATGGAACAGAGATAGTAAGGGAGAGGAAACAGAGGGATAGGGAAAAGAGAAAGAGATGGAATGAGAATTGGAAAGAGACCACTAAGTAGGAGACCAAAGGAGGAAATATAAGAAATACCACTGTAAGACTGGCATAGCAAATCAGACAGGTGACAGAACAAAGAGAATATGTGAAAACAGAGAGAGTGAAAGGAAATTAAAAGGATGTGAAGACACACTAAGAAAGCCTGAGAAAAGAAAAAAAAGATCTACATAAAAACAAATTGAAATGAAGATAATGCCAGCAAATCAGTCATAATTGATACTAAAATTAAAAACAAAACAAGGGCTATCAGATCTACAGGTCCACATTCCATTTGCATTCTTCTATGAGCTCTCTGAACTTATAAGTGACTAAAGAAACAGGCAGAAAATTTATTTGACTATGATATTCATTTATTGAAGTATAATAAAAAGTTAAACAAAAATAATCTTGCCTCTATAAAAACTTCTATGAAGATTTTGATCTTTCTTCTTAAAACTGAGGTGCAAGACATCCATATCAATGACATGTGTTATGTACATATGTTCTGAAGCTCTTTTGCAGTATCTTAAAATTATACCCATGAGGCAAACCAATTTTTTTTTTTTTTCCAATTAATCTACTCCTATATACAAATGCTGCCTAGTGTTTCCTCTATCTACTCTAAGCATTTCTTCCTACCAAACCATATAGAAATACTTTTCTTTCTTTCCTGCGCAAGCATGTAATATCCACACCAACTACTGCTATGGCTAATCTTGCTGAAGCATCCATTCCTTTAAGCCAGTAAAGTAACTCTACTCCTCTACCAAACAGACCATCACTGAGGAGAATATTTACCAATGATAATAAATGGACTTTTAAAAAACTTAAGGCAACTGCGGTCTCCATTGCAATTCGTGTTAGGTATGGATGCAGTAGTGGTTGTAGTGGAGGTGTTTGTTGCATTCGTTGTCACTGTGTTGGTTTGTAACTGGGTGGAAGAGGTGGTTGTGGAAGTCTGGGTGGAAGGTGTGGTAAGAGAGGATGTGGAAACTGGGGAAGAGCAATTGGATACGTCCTTCTACAGTGCAGCATTTAGGGACAGAAATGGGGAATTTGGATTAAATTTATGAAGATTAGCACTAGTATCCAAGTCACACAGCTAATAAATAAATATGTATATATATATATATCCTACACATCAGATATAAACTTACCGCTGAGACTAGATTTTTATGTTGAATACTGCAAGCAACAACAAAATGAAATAAAATAAAAATGAAATAAATAAAAACATTGCTGTGCACTCTTGCCAAACTTTCATGTGGAAGTCTGAGTTCATATCATCTAGGTGAAGAAAAGAAGATATAAGAGTGTAAACCAAATCCTAACAAACATCCTATCCTCTCTAGAAAAAGTGTTATGTGCCCTTCTTTCTAATTTACCTAATATGTGCATCTTATAGCAGATGCATTCAGAGTATTTGCTCTTAATCAACAATTTCCGTTTAGAGTTGGACAAAGGTAGTCTCAATTCACAGTGGCTTCCTGTTGTTTCCTTGGAGCCAATCTATTAAGTGGTTATTAGTACAGAAACTCATTGTGAATTCCTACAATGTAGAGAAAAAAAAGACCCCAAAAAAACTGAATGCAAGTGCTTGCTATTTACAAAAGAGCATGCATGCCATCATTATATAGATGAAAAATCAAAGAAACCAAAGCAAGCCATCCAAACCCTAAGGGAAACCCATCCAAAGTTGGAGAAATATACAGACATTTCCTTCTAAGTTTTCATATAATTGGTAACTACCCTTTACATAGGGTTTTTCCCTCTCTGTGTAATGGAGGTATTGTTTCGGAATATCTATTACATAAATTTTTCTGGACTGGAGCATGTGTAATGTGTCGCCATTAGCAAAATTTGGCATCCGTTACTTGGCATTGCTTGACAGAAACCAACCACTCTGGCTAGATGAGGCCTTAGTTAGTATATATGAAAAGTATCTGAATAACTGCCAAGAAAGATGTTATTTAGATTGTGGTGTCCTTAATCAGAAATTAATTAATCAATTCTCTGACCTTTAATACTAATTAGATAAAATAATATTGCAAACCATGCTTCTAAGTGACATCTTTCATGCGACAGTACCAAACACGAGGGAGGACTGTGACTGAAACAAATGTTTGTGCGAGACCCAAGCCTAATCATCTGTCATATCTGATGGGACATGAATTGGTTAACTGCTTAGCCAAAGATACTTCATGACAAAAGTTTGATATGTTGCAAAGCTCTTATGGCTACTGCATGAGTAGATGAAAATTGAAGCTGATCCTCATATGTCTCGACATTATGTACAACACAAGAGACATACAAAAAAAAACAAAAAACAAAAAAAACAGCTTCTCACTCATGACAGTTTTTGACTTTCAAAATCACAACAAAGCAAACATGAGTCATTTGTTTCCCAGATTAAAAAATAACCTTATGGACTAATCTAGATGACAAGTATCTTGGCAATTGTCTCCAGCTGACCAACTAAACATACCCTGATAAGTGTGTGAGGACCCCATCTTCGTGATGTGGCTGACAAATGTCTTGAAAGCTCCCTTGCTGTTTGGACTGGTTATATTAGTGCTTGTGGGTGCTGGTGTGGGTGTTAGGTGACTTGGAGTCTGGGTAGGGGTTACTTCCCCAGCTTGGCTTTTCGGCATCTGTTTGCGGAGTTCCACAAGGCCCTCTTCTTTCTCCTTGTCTGTGGGAGATACTGAGGAAGATCCCCCTGCTTGACCCTGAGCACTATTCTGAGTCTGAACAGTACCTGCTTCCTTGTTTGTTTCACAGATACTTTGTGAAAGCTTGCTGCTTTTTTGCTTGGCCTCTGCAAGTCGCACTTTACGTCTTGGGGGAGGAACTGGGTTGCCATCTTTGTCAAACAGAGCAAGAGATGATTTGCGGTCTTCATTTTCCTTCATTTTCTGTTCTTTTGAGAATTCATGCTCAAGAATATCAGTCTCTTCTATGGGACTTGGTTTTGGAGTTGGCTTTGGACTAACTCCAGGACTCTCTCTTGGGCTTGGTCTTGGGCTGACACCAAGTGTGGTAGGTTTTGCATCATTCTGATCCAAACCTTCATCCTCATTCAGTAAATTTACACAGTTTTTGAGCTCTTCAGATACCTCTTCTGTATCATCACCTTTGATTTCAAGAACATCATTCAGGTCTTTTTCCTTCATTTCTCCATCAGGTCCAATAACGACAATATCATCATCAACATAAAACTTGGAATTATTGTCAATGGATGAATTATTTTCTGAAGAAAAGGCCTTCCTGAACTTGGCATCCAGCTTGTTAAACTGGGCCTTCAAACGGAAAACAGACTGCCTCTTTGGGTCATTGTTAGCTGCTTTTGCATCTCCCTCGCTCCTTAACTGGGGCTCAGGAGTGACAGCCCTTGGTTTCGGCTGATCTGCCTTGAGCTCAAAACCAGGAGAAACAGACCTCGATTTTGGCTGCTCCACTCTCAGCTCGCCACCAGGAGACACTGCTCGAGACTTTGGCTGTTCCACTTTCAGTTCTTGCTTCTGCTCTCCTTTATTTCCATCATTTACTTCTTCAGCTGTGGCCAGTTCCTGCTCTTGTCCATTGTCTTCAGCTTTCTTCCCCTCACTAAAGGAAGCTTTCTTCATCGGAGCATTATCATCAACTGCTCCATCATCTTTTTCATTCTCCTTCACCTTCCCATCTTTCTCATCCTTGGCTTTACTCTCCTTCCTTCCAAGCAGCTTCCTGATCTCCATCTTCCCTGTTTCAAGCATTCCCTCCTTCTTTTCCTCCTTGATTTTCTCTACTCCTTTACTGTCCTTTCTTAGGAGGTATTTGCGGATCTCCAAATCTCCACGTCCTTTGCTATCGCTGCGGTTCACAGCTTTCTTGGGGTCCTTCAGATCCTCCTTGCTTTCTTTCCTCACTAAGCCGTCAATTTCTAAATCCTCCTGTGTGGTTTGTTGATGGTAAAAAATGGAGGATCCCATGTGTTTAACATCCTTGGGGAGGAAGTTGGTAATGTGATACAATTACTGAGATCAACACATTGTAGACTTATGTAAGACATTTTTCCCTACTTCCCTAATGATGACTAGGTCCTCTTTTATAGAGATCTAACCTCCAAGAAGCAATGGATTAATACGAACCAATATATCCAATAGCTACCTTAGGCCAATATACTTTATATCTCTAACTTATCCTTCTAACTCATTTGTTACATATGTATGTATATATTGCATGTATGTATGTATTTAAGTATATACTGTATGTATACAAACTTGATATATACTTATATACTTATATACTTATATATATATATATATATATATATATATATATATATATATATATATATATATATATATATATATATATATATATATATATATATATATATATATATACATATATATATACACACATACACACATATATACATACACACAGATACACAGTGTATTTTTCCTCTACATATTCCTTTTCAGGAAAACAGTTGTATGTTCCCTTAAGAAAGAGACGGAATGGACAAAACAAAATAGTTCAACCTGCCATACACAGTATTACTACTTTCCAAAGGGTTTCAAATCCTACTGGATTTATTTTAGAGGCGCTGAAGTTTGTGTGCTGTTCAATTTGTCAAATTAAGATATATCAGCCCTTTGTTTATGCTATGCCTCCATTCCTCCATGGTTCCAAATATATATATATGTATCTTACTTTAATGGAAAAAAAATTGTACTATAGAAAGCAATACGCTAAACTCTTCCCTTTGCATCTTTTTACAGTAAACAAAATCATCAGCCACTAATGCCTCTATATTTAGCCAAGATGCACTGTAATAAAACAAAAGATCATAAGCTCCCCCCTGGAACCTTAGTTTAACCAGCTGAAAATGAAAATGGGAAGCTATCTATGATTCCACAGTGGACCATATCTTCACTAGACGGAAAAACTTACTTCAGCGTGTATGCGACCATTCCCTGATGCTACTCGACTAAAATCTAGCATTAAAGCAGATCCTCTAATACCATGGAATTCAATAATGCCTCAGGGTTGGAATGTGTTTTTGTTTTCCATAGATTTGTTCTTCAGATTCCAATTTGCTCCGTTTTAACCATGTCTGTTTGTAGTATAACTTCGAATATGAACAATTTCCTTAACATGAATAAACCACTGCTTCTAATTATTTACCTTGTAATCTATCTAACCCTTTCTGGGATCTGCAAGAACTTTGCAACATTTGTATGGCATCTCCTCATACAATGTTGTGACATGTTTCAAAAATTAATGGATAAATATATCAATACTTTCATTACATTAAGTGCTATAATTCTACTTCTGTTCTTTTTATTCTCATTAGATATATAAATATATGAAGCTACTACTTATAATTTTGGCTGCACTCTTGATATATCTATCAGCCAATAAAAAAGAAAAACAAAAAGGAAAAGAAAATAGATAGTGAAAAAATAAAAGAAAAAAGCTGAATTTACAGCTAGTTTGTCGGTCACAAGGAAAACTCTCTTTTTATGGCTACGTGAACATCTAAATCAGTTTGATAAGTAGCAATTAAAAGTGGTATTTAAGGGAAAAAAAAGGAAATCATTAAGAGCACACGTGAAATTTTCATAACCTAATTCTATTTAGCCGCAGCTGCTTTAACAGTGCTATGAAATAAAGGAAGTTTAATAACTGCAATTTTAGCCGCAGAATTATATCCAACATCAACCTATGCATCAAATTCTATCTAGTAAATCTGAAGGAATATAAAACACCTCAGCACTTGTCTTTCCTATGACCTATTTGCATCATAAATCATATTCTAAAATATCTAAATCATAATGCCTAATAAAAGTCTGCCACCAACAGCAATATGTAAAAAATAAAATCTGTGTATTGTGTATCTTCTGTGTCACACTGATTAGAACTTGCAACATATACTAATTCTGATATTCCTGGTGGTAAAGAATAATTAAATAAAATCAGATTTAGAAATGAATGAACAATAAAGGTAAATATCACTTAAAGATATTAAACAAATCACACACACAAAAAACAAGATAACTAGAACATCAGTTTCATTTTATAATTACAGGAAGAAGATAAATACAAATTAAGTACCATACTGTCATCAATGTATCTAAAACCTTTTATGTTCACTTAGAAAAGGTGACCTACATAAAAACCATTATAAACCAACTTTAAATATTAACCACTCTTAATAAAATAAGATAAATTTCATAGAATTGAACATCTTACATAATATCAAATCTAAAGAGATAAATCATGGTAAATGAGAACAATCATATAAAATATATATTCAAATAAAACACACACATCCCAATGCCTTTCACTATTACCTGATCAGACGAGGGTGACCTGCATCGTTCATCTTCTTTGTTGGACTCATTCCGTTTTGGAGAGCGAGGAACGCGCTGGTACGGATCTGCTGATCCATAGAGCTCTGGCGTGCCCATATTCAAGATGCAGGTCTTGGCTATGTAGTCCACAATCACCAGACCACTCTCATTTCCATATGAGAGCCTGCAAGGAAGAATGAGGTGATTCATTAGCATTCATGATGTATTCACATTTCAATCTTTGCAGACTCTTGACTATAAGGCAATCTTAAGATCAGCAGGAGAAATACTATGATCTCTGCTTCAGTTGGCTTGGATATCCCACCCAGGACTGGGCAGAAGAAGCAGAAGATAGAGGAGTAAATAAAGACTGAGGAAAATGAACAACTAGAGAAAAAGAGAAAAAAAAGGGAGAAAGAGAAGTTCTGCTTCTATGAAGTGTCAAGATTCTACTACTGTACACAGTATACCAACTTAAGAGTAAACAGATCATCATTAAAGTAGACAGGCCATTATTAGAGTTGTTCTCTTGTGACTTGTGTCTGCTCTGATTTTCTTAAATCACACAGCTTTTTATATGTGAGTACATGAGACACTGAACTAGTAGGAGTGAAAGAGGGAGATTACGGCCACCTGAAATACTCCTATATTAAGCACTGTACACAGTCCTGTTAAGTTCCTATTAAAAGTTATTCAAGAATATACCACATGCAACAAGACAGTAAGAAAGAAAGAAAAAATCATGAGAGAGAAAGAACAAATGAATTAGCATACACACCCAAATCTAAAACAACTTACAGTCCATACGACGAGTTGATAGAGAGAGCAGTTATTGATCCCGGGGGTTCACCTTCCACCCAGGGCGTAAGACACACCAGATCAGCCTGGTACCCAGAGGCCTTCTTCTGTGATCCACCTCGGACGTGGATCGGTACAAAATAATCCACTGATCCCTGATAAGGAATAATGAGCCTTAAAACTCTGATTTTTAAAAATGTTTTCAGTTCTCTATCCTAAATTAAGCTTACATAAATATCATTATTCTAGACTATATGTGTATTTTTTTTGTCAGAGGTTCATAAGATTAGTCAAACCTATTTTTCTCTGTGATTATTGTAATGATGAGGAAACTGGTTAATTTTTAAAAAATGGATACTTAATTTAAGCAGCAAATGGACCCTTTTGTTTACTGCATGCAAAGTATTTATTCTCTAGAAGAAAACCACATCTTGAAAAGTACCTTATTTAGGATAGTTCTTTACATTTTCAATGGCTTTTACTGGAAGCATAACTATTTTTTCTCTTTATGTCTGCACTAGCAAAATTTAAAAAAATGGATACTACATGCTTGTTCACATCTCTATCAAAAAGTAAATAGAGTGTCTAAAGAAGTACAGTCTGTCTATCAACGTAAGGGATCACACAACATTCCTAACTTTCTAGGTTAAGGGGGAACTACAGGTTCCTATAATGGATAATTAAAATTCAACAGTATCATACTATACTTAGCCAACCATCAATCTAAATCCATTATCATTTTTTTTTCCTAAAGCGTCAAACGAGCAGAGACTACTTTCCTGTCGCTCGAAGGAGAAGAGCATTCCCAATACCCTAGGGTGCAGTCATCACGTACACTGACACAACATCTGGTCTTGCGTGACCTGCTACAAATACCTACACCTTTCTTTTTTCTATGATTTTGACTCTGACTGTGACCCTTTTTATCAGAGGCTTTTTTATCGCAGGCTTCCCCCGAAGCTGAGGAGGTGTGATGGGGACTATGGGCTACCTGGAGTGTGGGGCGAGGCGGGAATTCGTACTCGGGTGAGCAGTCACCTGATTCATAGACCTCATACACAATTGGAATCTCCAGACACTGAAAGGTGAGATTTATCATTAATTAATACAGAAAAGACACAAACTCAATTTCTTTTTTGTTATATTTGAATAAGTAGATAACATGTTGCATATGAATTTTTGGGATGCAGTTTGCAGATATTTGCCACATCAACTCACTGGAACTTCGCCAGTAGTCTCTTGTTTGGAGTATTTGAAGAGTATAACATGAGCTGTGGCTCCTGCAACACAAAGCAACCTCGACTCTGGACACAGGAATATGTGCTGGATTGCAAATGGATCTTCATCACCGTCAATACTTCTGGTTCTTGGCTTTTCAAAAACCTTTGCAGTTTTTAATTTGTAGAGAACTTGTAAACTAACAGATGATGCATCCCAAAACTTAATGCTTCCATCCGCGTGCCTGGAACATGGTCAAGTTGTAAATAATCTAAAGAATATAACACTCCAATATCCTGCTTCAGATTATGTAAATTATGCAGTCTAACTCTAACAATAATGGAAAAAACAATACTAAAACTACTATTACTAATATTGTTGATGAGAGTAATAGCAATAACAGCAACAACAATAACAATAATAATAATAATAATAATAATAATATTAATAATAATAATAATAACAATGACAATAATAATTATTACAATAAAACTTATATTAATAATAATATATAATAACAATCACCATAATCATAATAACTAAAATAACGAAAATCATAACAATCTTAACCATAATCATCACCATTACTACCATAAAAAACAATAACAACAACAGAAATAATAATAATAATGGAAAAATCACAATACCAATACAAAAACTGTTACAATTAAATCTAACCCGCTTGCCCAGGATAACCCCCTTCATTTTTTTTCAAACAACCTACTAATGTACAAGCCTTAGCAGACTGCCTCCTCCCTCTACCCCAAACCCACCACGAACTACCCCTCGCCCCCCCCAAAGGAGACCACAACAGAAGAAACACAGCAGCCAGGCAGCCACATCCTCACCCAGTAATGATCATCTCTGCATAGCTACACGAGGTGGACCCCCACTCGCCGCCGCAGATGGGCCACTCTCGCTCGCTGAAGCCCTGGCGTTTCTGACCCCTGGCTCCCACGCAGTAGAAGGCCGGGACGAGGTCAGCGGGGCAGTCGGCCAGGTAGGTGCAACACGTGACTGGGGACTCGTGCAGGTCCATGGAGTACGGGTTCTCGAAGCACGGGTAGCCCTGGGTGTGTAAGTCCACGACCACCAGGTCATTGTGCAGCAACACGACGAGGGCGTAAGGTTCTGCAAACTCTGCGGAGAACGAGGGGATGGTTGAGTCAGTAAGGTGGAGAGAGGGACTTACAGAAACGAGTTGTTATTATTTTCTGATTTCTGTCTAGATTCAACCTTGGAACTGAGATTAGTTAACGGAGTATATCGATAGGAAATATCAGTAATATGCCTGAAACTGGTCCCTGATTAGCTTTTAGAACGTCCTAGTGTTCAAGTTACATATCAAACGTGGCACAAATTACACAACTTAAAGTTATAATAACACAAACACACAATTATACAAACAATTAATTTCTATTATCATGCATAACTAAAATAAACTGATTTAGAGCATGATTGGAGTAGAAACCGACGCCAGTAAAAGATCGGAGATATGACAAGTCTACCGCCAGCGGAGAATGATTCATCTCCGTCTAGCCAATGCTGCAAGATAAAACATCATTCTATTCCCATATTGGAAAGTAAAAAAAATGAAATATGGAGAAAGGAAAATCCTAGAAACA